TCCAGGCACATGCCTGGGTTGCAGGCTCAATCCCCAGTGGGGGGTGTGCAGGAGGCAGCCAATCAATGATTGTCTCTCATCATTGATGTTTCTATCTCTCTCTCCCTCTTCCTTCCTCTCTGAAATCAATAAAAATATATTTATTTCTCTCAATTTTTATCTGCCACACATTTATAATAATATAAAATTTTTTAAAAAAGAATGAACACTAAGAACAGAAATCAATGAAATAAAAAGCAAATACACAATAAAAAAATATCAACAGAGTCACCCTGGCCAGTGTGCTCAGTGGTTAGATCATTGGCCAGTGCACTGCTGGGTCTCAGGTTGGATTTCCCAGTCAAGGGCAGGTTCCTGGGTGGCAGGTTCAACCCCAACCTGGGATGGGGCATGTTCGGGAGGAACCAATCAATGTGTCTCTCTCACATTAATGTTTCTCCCTCTCTCTCTCTCTCTCTCTCTCTCTCTCTCTCCCTCCCTCCCTCTCTCCCATTCCTCCCTCCCTTCCATTCTCTATAGAAATCAATGGAAAAAATATCTTCACTCCTCAGGTGAGGATTAAAAAACTAGAAATAAATTTTAAAATATCAACAGAGTCAATTGATGATTCTTCTTAAAAGAATAATAAAACTGGTATTTCTTTAGCAAAACAAATCAATAAAAGTGAGAGAACACACAAATTAATATTATCAGAAATGAAAAGAGGGATATCATTATAGATCCTACTAATGCAGTGTTTTATGTTCACTGCAACATTATTCTCAATAGCCAAGATATGGAAGCAACCTAGATGTCCATCGATAGATAAATGGATAAAGAAGATGTATAATATGTAATGGAATGTTATGTAGCAATAAAAAAAAGAATGAAATCTTGCCATTTATAACAGCATGGATAGACCTAGAGGGTCTTATGCTAAGTGAAATAAGTCAAACAGAGAAAAACAAATACTATATGGCTTCACTTACGTGTGGAATCTGAAAACAAAACATAACATAACTTAACAAAAACAGACTCATAGAAATAGAGACCAAAGGAATGGTTACCAGAGGGGAGTGATGAGGGGGATGGATGAAAACTGTGAAGGGGAATATAGTCAATAATATTGTGAGAAGTTTGCACAGTGAGGACTTCCGGGCAAGATGGCAGCCTAGGTAAACATAGTACTTGCTTCCTCCCACAATCACGTCAAAATTACAACTAAACTACAGAAAAATCATCATTCAGAATCATCTGAAATCTGACTGAATGAAAGTCCTACAACTAGGGAATTAGAAGCCACATCAAGACTGGTAGGAGGGGTAGCAATACGTAGGGGCTGATTTCACACCCATGTGTGGCGGATAAAAATTGGGAGAAATATCTAGGCTGCAGTACACAAATGAAATCCCCTTATGCTTTTTGCTTGTGTACTCCACCCTGACCCCCAATATAAGTCATTTGTCTATAAGTTTTTACTCTCTCTCTCTCTCTCCCTCTCTCAACCCCCCACCTGCTTGTTAAGCCTATTTCCTTGGTATTTTCCCATGTGGCCCCCTTATGGAATTAAGTGACTCTGTCTCTCTAGGACTTGGAAGTATAAAAACTTTGTTTTCCTGTGCCTCTTTCACATCCCCTCTTGTGGCTACACCTGATTGACCATCTCATGAAAGACTACAAATAGCTACTATGATCAGACAAATTCATACAGGTACAACCCAGTAGTTGTACCTATAGGAAACTTTTGATCCCACCTCCCTATTTCTCATGACACACCACAGGGATGAAAAGTTCTGTGATCTGTAGGTATGGACTATTTACTGTCCAGGGCTAAACATGCTTCTTTGAATACTAATGCTCTAGGAATCACTGTATAACTGGAACCTTCTCCCATGAATGCTCTACTAGTAAAGGCTGTGATCCTTAGAATGAGACTCAGGCTATTCCTGCTGGGGATCCCCTGCCAGACAAGACAGGCTTACCTGAGCAGGCAACTCCAACATCCAAGGTATGGGAATAGTCAAGTTCATGATAGTTTCGAACCATAGAACGAATACAGTCATTGATTTTCAATTCTGTCCCTTTGCAAAAAAGATATGAATGCCAAATGGGCCCTACCCCTGATCCGAAATAAACCCCTCTGGAAGCAGCAACAGCAACTCCACATTCCAGCTGTCTGCACACCACAGCTGCATCCTTCAGGTTCCAGTCAAAATCATTCACTGTGCCCCATATTCCTTGGTACTTCACTTCCACTCTCCCCTCACAGCGGTGGCCTCCACTCGTCAGCCTCAGGTCTGCAGCTGCAAGAGAGACATAGACACAGAACACATGACACAGCAGAGATTTTAGGAGACCATACAGTGGTGTATGTTTAGTATTAAAAACCTAGATCTCTGGGAGAGTTCCAAAGGTCAAGATGGCAGAGTATGTAAACACTATTCTCACCACCTCCCATGACCACATCAAAATTACAACTAAACTGTAATAAGTAAAAGTAGAATTACTCAGAAGAAAAAAATAGTTATCTAGGGTTTCAAAAATATCTCTATATATAGCATTTGTTTATTTCTGTGGTGTAAATACAGGGTGAGACAAAAGTAGGTTTACAGTTGTTCATATGGAAAATAATATAATAGTTAATAAATAATAATAGGAGAATAAACTGTTTCACAACTATAAACATACTTTTGCCCAACCCTGTATTCCCACTGTGACCAGTTTTAAGCTATCAATGTGGCATCACTAAGTACAGAGTTGGAAAGAGATGCACACAATTATTTCTCACCAGCTAGTAAGACCAAGCTCCAGGCACCCCACTGAGGATAGGCCTTTAGAGGATCAGGATGCTGTTGTCTCAATAGATAATGCCTAAGGCTGGTAGGGGCCAAAGTTCACCATCTCAGTTACAGTTAATGGCCCACCAGGCCAGTGGAGGCATCTTCCCTCCCCTCTGGCCCACAGGGAGCGCTCTCATCTAGCTTTGGAACAGAGGAGTGTGTTAAGCAGCCTCTAAAACATCCTGATTATTCCTATTTCCTTGCATTCACACCCTCACATAACCTTCCTCACTCTTGATTGTGGGATGAACCCAGTAACATGCATCCAACAAGTGGAATTTGGCAAAATCGATGAGCTGTCACTAAGAAATTGGTTTCAAGAGGACTCTGGTTTCTCTCTTTTTGATCTATCTTACTCTCTTATTTGCTTGCTGCAATGAAGCCAGCTGCCATATTGTGAGCTGTGTATGGAGAAACCTCCATGACAAAGAACTGAGGGAGGCTTCCAGCCAATAGCCAGCAAGGGACTGAGGTTCTATTAAACCGTTCACCAAGGTCTAAATCAGTGGTTCTCAACCTTCCTAATGCCACGACCCTTTAATACAGTTCCTCATGTTGTGGTGACCCCCAACCATAAAATTATTTTCGTTGCTACTTCATAACTGTAATTTTGCTACTGTTATGAGTCGTAATGTAAATATCTGATATGCTATATTTGTTTCCCGATGGTCGAGACCCACAGGTTGAGAACTGCTGGTCTAAATGCTGCCAATTAACTAGGTGAATAAGTTTGGTAGTATTCACTCCCAGAATACCCTTAAGATGATTGTAGCCTTGTGATAGAGCATAAGTCAGAGGACCCAGATAAGCCATGCCCAGATTCCTCGCCCACAGAAACTATGAGATAGTAGATACTAGATTCTTGCTCACTAAGCTGCCATGTTTGGCAGTAATTTGTTGCCATATAGTCTGCAGTATTTTGCTATGGCAGCCCACCTGAGCAGACTAATACACAAGGATTCTTTTCAAATTCAGCATCTTTCCAGATGTTTCCCTTTTTGATGCACCACTTCTATTTTTCCAGAATGAAAGCATATGGACCCAAGCAGAGACCTGAGCAGTGAGAATGGATACCACAGGGACTGAGCACTGATTACATTATAAGAAAAAAAATTCTCATTTTGGTGACCGTAATTCAAAGCTAATAGAGATGATTCTAGGGCCTCAGCAAAGCAGGAATCTAAGGTACTGAATGAGAAACAGATATGAAAAGATAGAGAAAGTTTAGGTCCCTATTTCAGGTAGCATCAAGGTTACAGAATTGGTCACTCAGGAAGAAGTCTTATTTGGATGAAGCAATTAAGCCACTTATATAAGTCTCCAGGTTGTCCACCCTGCTGTTTCCTCGCTTTGGTGGGAACCCCTCAATTAGTTATATATTGCTGTGCAGCAAATTACATTTTACTAAAACTGTGTTTTACCAAAGACAAAGAGAGAATTTTTAAAGCAGCATCGTGAATGTACCACATACACCTTCTTAGACCTAAACCTGGACCTCTCAAATTTTCAGTTGCTTCAGCCCTGTTCTGGACCAGAGTCACCTCACCACTGAGAGTTCAGTTTAGAAATTACTCTTACATTGTCTGCTGCATTCTTGACTGCAAAATAAAATCTGCTCAAGTCAAAAAATAAATATGTATTATTAATATATATACTCCACCTTGTAGGATTGTTGTGCACTCAAATGAGTTCATATAAGTGAATGTAGTATCAGTATCTGGTGGTAGTAGTTGCAGTTGTAGTAGTAGTAGTGGTAGTATAGTAATAGTAGTGGTCTAAAGAGTTCCAATAGAAATTGTAACAAAAATGACAAACATCCAAAGATAAAAAGTACAAATGTCATGAGCAAGTAATTCACAAATAAAGGATTAAATTAGCGAAGATATGCCAGTTTTTGCCTAACATACACCAGTTTGGGCTAAGATTTTAAAATGTGATAAAAACCCAATGCTGGTGAAGGTATGTGAAAACTAATATTCTCATCCAACATTATTTGGAATAAAATTTAGTGCAAACATTTCTGGTGGGCAATTAATCTCTATGTATCAAAAGCCTTAAAGGTATTCAGAGCCTAAAGAACAGCAATTTCACTTTTAAAATGTTATTGAGAAAAATAATCATGGAGAGTCCTTATATGTAAATACAAGGAAGTTGAACAACTTCTTTTCATAACTTCAAAAATGAAAACAACTAAATACCCACACAAGTGATCACATGAATATATTGCATGTTGGTCATATAAATAAATGATTGAAAATAATTAAATTTTCCATATTATCCTTGTAATATAATATATTTTTGTAATAGAATAAAATGTTTTAGTGTAGAAAAGAAGAATAGTTAATGGTCTAGAAAGATGTGCAAAATATATTGTCAATTTTAAAAAACAGATTACCAAATAATGTAAACCAAATAACCAAATTATGCAGTCTTTGGGAGTTTATGTTTTTGTGTATTATGGCATAAAGTGTGTTTGAAGGCATAATTTCTTGCCAATGCCCATCATGGATTTCACTGTGGAGACTCCTGTAATGTATGCCCAGCTCAGAAATCATCAAATGCTCAAAAAGGCCAGGACTACTGTTTTACAAGGAGCAAGTCCAATGTCATATGAAGTTGAAGAATAAATTTCTAGTAGGATAGCTGCTTACCTTGGAAAAATGTCCTTGCTGTCCTAACCGGTTTGGCTCAGTGGATAGAGCATCGGCCTGTGGACTGAAGGGTCCCAGGTTCAATTCCGGTCAAGGGCATGTACCTTGGTTGCGGCACATCCCCAGTGGGGAGTGTGCAGGAGGCAGCTGATCGATGTTTCTCTCTCATCGATGTTTCTAACTCTCTATCCCTCTCCCTTCCTCTCTGTAAAGAATCAATAAAATATATTTTTTAAATGTTCTTGCTTCTTAAGTAACTAAGTAAATTTCCTATAGTTTTTCTCGTAATAAGAGGTGTCCTTTTATCGAAACACCCATTGTCTCTCCTCTACATGGGATCAAAACCTACCTCTCCACTTCAGAGCCATCAAGAGAAGAATCTTCACTAGCATCTGGCCAACACTCAAGGAGCAGACACTTAAAGGGATGAGGTTTCCCCAGGAGAGTTATGGGACTGAGAGACTGAACTCTAGGAGGAAGACAATGAGCATTGAGAGGAGACAGAGCTGTGCACCATCTCAACCTGGATCAGTACCCAGGCTGAAGGCTAGATTTGCTGCAACCCTATCCCTGATGCCTGCAGTCCTCTGGCTCAGTGGAAGCCAGTTTGCAGGGAGGGACAATAGAACCCGTAAGAGAGAAAATGCATCCTATAGAATTCACAACACATCCTAGGGAGTGGGTGTGAACCTCAACAAGTCAGGGAACAATTCACAAGAACTGGGGAAGGAATTCGGGAAACTTTACATAACTGATGCTGGGTATCTCTAAGCAAGAGATCCCCTCTCCTGGCTGCAGAGTCCTCTGTTCTACAGCAGACACCCGGTAGGAATAGGTGAGTCAGGAAGCAAATTCTCTCACAGAGCCCAGTGCTGGGCAAACACTGTAGTCAAACAGAGAGGAGGCTGTGGGATTGAAGGAGAGCAGCCAGAAAGAAAGCAAGCAGGTGCAAGATTATCTATGATCTGGTTACATACAGTTTACGTGACACCCCAACAGTGTGGGCACTGTGTATTCCACACACCAACTGACTCAGTCACTTCTCGGATGCTATGTTCCTCTCACACATCCATCACATCCACTACACACTCACACCCACTTCCCTGTCTCTCTCTCTCTCTCTCTCTCTTTCTCTCTCTCTCTCTCTCTCTCTCTATACATAAATACATAAAATATAGAAATCCTCACGGGCAGCCCTCTCCAAAGCAAGCAAATGCAGTATGGAAGGAACAGCCCAGAGGCCCAGCTGAGTCAATCTCTAGTCCTTCCCAGACACTGGGAGCCACTGGCACAAAACAGATACTCCTTAAAAACAAGGAGGCATGGGAGAGGACTAAAATCGACTCACCTTAGTCTGCAACTATCATTTCTTTGAAAAACCGGCCACTGCCCTAGCCAGTTTGGCTCAATGGATAAAGCGTGCCACTGCCCTAGCCGGTTTGGCTCAATGGATAAAGCGTTGGCCTGCGGACTGAAGGGTCCCAGGTTTGATTCCAGTCAAGGGGCACATGCCCGGATTGTGGGCTCGATTCCCAGCAAGGGGCGTGCAGGAGGCAGCAGATCAATAATTCTCATCATTGATGTTCCTATCTCTCTCTCCCTCTCCATTCCTCTCTGAAATCAATAAAAATATATATTTTTTTTAAATCTAGTAGTCTTTGAAAAAAAAAAAACCTGCCACTATGACCAATTGAAACCCCACAGGAGAAGAACCAATATTTATAATCATCGTGTTTCCCTTTTGGTCAAAAAACATGGTCTCCCTTGAGGCTTTAGCTCCATAACTCCTGGGACCTTTCCCTTTGCCAAGGT